AGAAGGGTGCAACAATGAATGAATGGAATTCCAAAATCTCTGTAGATGTTCATTGAAATGAAAAATAAACAAACTAAATTAAAAAAAAAAAGAAAACATTTGATATCTAAAATGCTTAACCAGGCTAACAAGATTCGATAATGTAACTGACAGCATCTTTACTAGGACAATGAAATACATTCTTTTTAAAGAAAATAATCACATCAGCAAAAACACAACCATTTGTAAAAATATATACAGAAAATTACTCTTAAACACAACAGCATAATCCAAAGATCATGCTATTAATGTTTCCTTTTACTAAAATGACCAATAAACGTAAACAAATAATGTTAATTCATTGGCTATTTTTCAAAGCATGTAAATAATCAAGAATATGACACATTACTGCTATCTCCATGCTTTAATTTCATCAATATTAAGCTTACCTTTCTTTTCGGTCCAGACTGCTTAAAACATGAAAAAGAAAACAAAAGTAAGAGGCAAGACCTCATGATCACTCTATCATTGTAGCTTTAGTTACAGCAGTGAGTAAGGTAAAATTTTGTGATCAATTTGTTGTAAATACAATTGTATACATGTTATAGAAAATATTTTTAATCTTACTATATATTATTTTAAAAATTTTCAGTACACTATACTATTTACATTTAAAGAACCTTCCCCTTAATACATTTAATAGGAAGAAATGTATATAAAAATATGAAAAGTTATTAAAAGTATAAACATTTTAAATTTTTAATAGTCAATAAATTTGAACTATCAAACATAAATTTTTAGTGGTTCCAATTCTATTATTAGATTCTTTATAAATTCTTTTAAGTAAGAAAAAGATTAAAAGCTGAAACATCTGTACAAAAATTTGAGATGAAATAGATGATTTGGGAGATAAGAAACTGCCTAAGATTTGAAATCCTGTGCTCTTACCACAAATTCAAATTCTAATAGAAGTTTTACTCTCTTCTACAATTTAAGTAAAAATAAAACATTATTAGTGTCGATTACTCAATAATTAATGAAACTGTATAATCCCTCAATTCAGAGTAAAGGAATCACATTCTATAGTTAGTCCTCAACACAATAAGCTGTTCCACGTTAACAACTATAAGGAGAGCCCAACTGGCAATACCTCTCACTTTCCATAGTTTTACGATGTGGGGCAGCTAGTAAAAGACTGATTTTATTTTGGTAAACTAAGGGAGGAAAAAAAAGTCACTTTCATATGCATAACAATGAAATGAAATAGATATTTATATTTTTTATTAATCTTAAGTTTTATCTTTACTATTAAAATAGATATGTTTGTATAAAATAGAGCTTTGCTATATAAGTAGAGAAATTATACATCAAGGGAAACAAAATACAAACTTAAAAATAAAAATATTGTTATCTAACAGTCTGTATATATCTTATGAAGCAATTTCCAAGAAAATAAAAAACAAAGTAATATCTAATCTGGTCATTTCATCTCAGTGATGTCATGCCCCAAAGAGTTAAAAAAAATAAAAAATTAAGATCTTTTTTGAGTTTGTTTTCTAACCTCACTTGTAAGAAAGAGGAGTAGAGGATACAGTAGACATAGAATAAACAAGTTTAGTTTGTTCCAATAAAACAAAGTAGTAAGGAAGTAAGCAAAACTATGCATGCATTCATGCTAAATTTTCTTGTCCTTAATAATAAAACATTTCTTATACTATAGTATCTAACATGTAAATAATAGTACTTAAAATAAAAGAATCCTCAATATATGTTAATGATCAAGTCTTGTCCTAGCAGAACTTACATATTAAAACTTAAAAAAAAAATTCAATTTAACAAAAAACTAGAAGCCATTATTAGCAATATAGGACTTTGTACAAATGTCAGTTCATATTCTTTTTGTGTTACTTCATACAAAAAGTAACAAAAAAATATCTGAACTAAAATTATCCTATTCTATTACATTCTCACTGCTGTTGAATCAGAAGTGGTTCATAGCTGAGCCTCCACTGAGTTTGAGTCTGTAAATCCCATAGGAGAAGACTGCTCATCTTCCTCTCAGAGCTGCTAGTGAAATCGAACCCCTAGAAAGGTGCATCCTTTGGGTGAGCAGCATAACTCCCTATGGACTAGGCCGCCAGAGATTTGTAAACCATACAAGATGCCTTTAAGTTTTACAAGGATGGAAAAAGGGAGAACAGGTTATATGGGTCCTGATCTAAGCCATTTGGGTTTTTGTTGTTGTTTTTTTTATTATTATTATTTTTGTGTGTATACCATCAAATCAGATCTGACTGGTACTGGAGGAGACTGTCCCTCCTTCCCCAGCAGAGCATCTGGTGGATTCAAACCATGCACCTCTGGGATTGAAGTGCAGCTTCCTGCCACTAGGCCACCAGAGCTCCCCGCCATTTGGTTTTTTAATTCCAAAAATGAAGATTCTTTAAATCTTGCTTATTCCAGATTTCTTATCTTGCATTTTCTCATTTATGGATTACAGATGACTATTTTACTCTACATATAAGTCTTTCCCCCCATTCTTAACAAAAACTTGAGTATCAGAAAATGTGAAAGAAATGCAAATAAAGCAGAAATCAACAAAGTGGGCTGTTTTAAAACATCTGATTAAAATGAGAAGTAGAGATCTTACAGGAGGACATCACTGACTCATTGCCATCAAGTCAGAACTGACTCATAGCTGATCATCCAGTGTGGTTTTGGAGGCTATAAATCACACAGGAGATTGCCCATATTTCTCACGCAGAGTGGCTGGTGGATTTGAACTGCCAGAGTGGTGCTATCTTTGAGTTGGTAGTGCAATTCCCTAAGGAATATCCCCTCCCCGAGCTCCATATATATGGTTACATAGATTAGCAATATTCCTTCATTGCATACATAATGCATATGCACTCCATCTTTTAAATATTAATTAAAACAACATTTAAAGTAACTTTTAAGGGGAAAAAACCTGGGACTTTAATTCTCAAATATCAGCAGCTAATTTAGTGAGATATTTTCACAAATTTCACTCATTTATATTAGATTAGAATTATAGATTACTCAAAATGAAAGTCTAATTTACTTATATGCCAAGTTAAAGCACTCACCCCCTAAAAAAAAAACCACTGATCAACAACTAATGTTCCTTATTTTAATATCAAAATATTTGAGAAATATTTTAAAAAATTGGAAAAGGGTGTAAAAGCTAGTATATTTATGTACATTTGCTAATTCTGCCAAGACTACAGTAAATCAACTAGTTGCTCCTTAGAGGAAAGGATGATGCAACTTACATATACTCTGGATACGTTTCTAGGAGAGGCTGTTCCACTGAGACAGGGTCAGCAAAAGAGAGGTAGACCCTCAAGGAGGAAGATCAACAAAGTAACTGCAACAATGGGCTCAAGTGTGTCAGACATTGTAAGACTGGTATAGGATAGGACAGGGTTCAAATCTGTTGTTCAGAGTCACTAAGAGAGTCATGCTTGACCTGACAGCACCTAACAAAAACAACTCTGGAGCAATGATTTCTGCTAACGACTTTGCTCATTCATGCCTTTGAAGATGTGATTCTTAGTGCATGGATGAAGCATTTTCTTTTGGTTTGAATACTCAAATGTTCTTTTAAGGTCTTCTCTACTTCCACCTCTAATATTAGTACATATTCTTTGTATTTTTCCACAACTCCACTAAACATGTAAGCATTTTACTTGTCTCTGTCCTCTATTCTAATTAAACTTGAATCCCAAAGATAAGATACTCATCTTTGAATAGTCTGTACCTCGTGTATGACTGGTATGTAGCATAAATTCTGAAATTATTTTCAGAAGAAGAATGGAAAAGCCTATCAGTAATTTGTCAACTTCAAAAAATTTTTTAGTGACAGTTACACTGCCATAGGAATAAGAAATGTTTATTTTTTTTAATTGAGAATAAATAAAATACAAACACTAAATACAAATTAATTCAGGTTGTTTGGTTTTTTAAAATAGAAACAATAAATATTAATTCCTACAAATAAAATCCAATAGTTTATGCACACAAGTGAAAATACACTGTGTAACATGTGTAATTGGCACAGAGACCTAAAATAAAACACTTAACAATTTCCATACGTTTTTCAACTAAAGCAACAAGAAAATAAGGGAAAGAAAATAAGTTAGACTGCAAATAATCTTAAACTATAATGTCAAAACCAGTAATTTTAGTTGTAAGATGCATCATTAATATGGCTGTAAATTTTAAAGTAGTGTTTCATATTAACACCACATTGTCAGGCTACCCAAAGTTCTTTATGATCAGATACAAATGACTCTTTGATATCTGATTCTAACATATTTTAAGATTATGCTATGGGATTTTCCCTTTATTCCTTTAATTTTTCCAATTCTCTTTTTTTATTGTTATATCAAATAATTTTAAACTCAAGAAATCATGTGTCTGTAACTATATCCTAACAGACAAATTGTGTATTACATACGTATTATTTACCAGCTTTTCACAAAAAATCCATTTAAAAAAATTTATAAGCATTTAGTAACATTACAAAATGTAATTTATTATGTAAATCTTTTCAACATTTCAATGAATATTAGGTTTGAATGACAATTCCTGGAAACCATAGCAATAGGTAATATAGTACAAACTTTGATATAATGTTAACAAAAGGCATTCAAGGAATAAAGATTTAAAAAGGTTACTTATGATCAATGGGTTCTATTATCAATATGCAAGAAAAAGGGATGTCTGCTTCTTCCACCCTCCTAATTATTCTTTTATTATTTAATCTCAAGTTTATGTCACACATAATTTAGATAAAGATTGATTTATCTGTGTACTTTGGGAGTGCGGCAAGTCCATTTTTAAAATATATGCACAAATTTCTGTAGGTTTTAGTTAATTATTTTCAAATATATTAAAACTATTATAAAATATGTAAGAAAAAAAGGTTCCCTTAAAGTCTGGAAAATAATAGTAATATTTAAATCTATAGTCTATAACAAACCTATGCAATGGCAAATATAAGTATTTTTTTAAAATAAGTATTTTTAAGAGTCAAGAGTCAATTCTGAATAAATTACAGACTAGTCTGACATTTTCAAAATAGAACACCTAAAATATAAACTAAATCTCGAATTTTATCAGTTATCAAACACTTCACCCCAATTATTTATAATGTAGTGAATAAAGATTATGTAACTGAATTATTAAGTAATTAAATCTGTGCATCAACTAAAAAAAGAGATTTAACTTTTAAAAACTGGTTCTAAAAAGTCTCTTAAGTATTTTAAATAATAAACTACTCCCAAGTGTTACTTTAATTATTTCAAGTATTGAATTATACAATCAACAAGAACATGTAAATCTAGGAAAATTACTATAATATACAATTTTCTCAAGTAAAGTGATTATTTTGGTATTACGGAATCCTAAAACCTTCTATGGAAGGAATGGAATGCAGTTTTGTCAGTGCTGTGAAATCAGTTTCATTTAAATATGTTATTAAGCCTACTCAAATATAATGCAGGGGTTGAATGGGCTTCTATTATAAAAACTCAAGAGAATATAGAATATTAAATAATAAAATTCTAGGCGTTGAGTATTTCACAGACTTGAAGATCTCTTTATAATGGAAATAAAGTTATACACATACACACACAAATTAATTGGGGGGGGTGGGAAGTTAAATTTTTTTCTACTAAAAGCAATGCTAGTACATATTAAAGACAATAATTAGAATCCTTACCTTTGCGCTGCTGTTTTTACTAACGTTATCTGTGCATTAGCATGATGAAAACGTCTACCATGAACTACAGTTCCAGAACATAATGATGCATTTTGTGTATTTTCACTGCAGATTCAAGAAACAAAAATATTTGAATAGGGAAAAATTACATATACACATGCAAAAGAAATATTTTCATTTTAAGCTCAAAAAAGACTTCATTACTAAAAGAAAAATTTATTACTAAATAACACCAAGTGGCCATGCTGAATAGCTCTTTAGTTTTCTGCTTCTTAAATTTGGTTTTGAAATATTTTCACTGTATTTTACAACAGATGAAGTAAAGTAGATATTAAAGATCACTAAAGTAGGTATTAAGAGTCCTTAACTCCACTTCCGATTCTTTCTCTGACATGACAATTACTTAACTTTTACGAACCTTAGTTCCCTAACTATAAACTGGCATGGCAGAAGAAAATCATGGTTTTCACCCTTATTTCTGGGAGATAAAATAACTCATCTGATCTTTTACAGTAGTTAACTACAAAAGCCATTAGGAGAGGTGAGTTATGTTTGTTAAGAGGAATAAGAAATCTTAAAGTCCTTTGTTTAGATAATATTAATAAGCATTCCTTAATGAACGCATGATCATCTTCATACTAACTAGATGAAAGTAACATCGTTTTTCTGAAATCTCAGCCTACTAGAATATATAAGCTTTGTAGTATTTTTTTTTATTCTTAAACAAGAAATCACTGCAACTAACCCTACTTACAAGATTCGAGACAAAAAATTCATACACTGAAACGACCCTATCTTCTAGCATAATGAATATTAAATAGAGAAGACATAGGTTGGCCTGATGGCCACAAAGATATCAAATCCTTTCTTTCCTGTAGAAGTATGTGGTGATGTGCCTATACCTCAATTTCTTATTGTTGCTCAACATGTTAAGTCCAATTGGGTTGCCTTTCAAAGTTTTAAAACTTTCAGTCTTGTTTCGTCTTACATATGTCTTCAAGATGAAATCACCAGAACTAGTAGCAACAATTTCAGATCGACGATTTAACTGCAAAAAGATCCATAAATGTTAAAGAGTCAATTAATACCACAACCAAATAATATATCAACAACTACTTGACAATTCATTTAAAAAATATACTAAAAATGTACCAGCTATTGGGGATTGGGGGGAGAGGATGGCAAAAACATGGATCCATGAGTATATCAATTCTGATTCTTTCTTTTCAAAAGTTAATATAAATTTCTAGGAACATGGGTATTTATTATCTTTTTTGGCAAATATCTCTAAATAGACTGAGTTTTGCTTATTTTTTTTCATTTTTTGTTGTTTTTTTAAAGGGAGGGATAAAGAGGGTATTGAGTTAGGATACCTCTCTTCAGAATGTGAAATGTAAGCATTAGCTGCTGCCTGTGAAAAAGTACTGCTAAATACATCACTAAGCTGTCATTTAAACTTGTATTTTCCTACAAGTCCTTTAGCCCAAGCAAGAGTTTCTATGTTAACACAGAGAGATGTCTTTACACTTTCAATAAGCAACTAGTTAACTGCCGATTACAGAGAAACTTGCAAAGCATTATCACCTCAGGCAGATCCCAGTATGATAATGGAATGTCCCCTCTTGCTAAATTCTTCTCAACAAGAAACCTATTATTCACTGCACAAGATTTTAAAGTTAACCTTAGACTCATTAAAGTTTTGTGTTTGATTGTTAAGGGGAGCTGGTGGCACAGTGATTAAAATTAAAACACTTTCTGTTAACTAAAAAAGTTGGCAGTTTGATGTGTCAGGCTGTTTCTGCAAAGATGTACTGTCTTGAAAACTCAAGAATTAAAACTACAGAATTGCTAAGTCTACTGAAGAGTGGTGAATAGAATCTCGGCAATTATTTCAGCAAAACATCTTAAAAACTCATTTTATCTTTTATTTTTACATAGTGGCTTGATGTTTTATTTCCTTTCACAAGAAATAGTCCTAAGAAAACGGCCAACTTGACTTTCTCCCCAATTATCTCTATAAAAACGCATCACTTCCTCCGCTATGAAGTATTTCTTTAGTTCCTAATCTTTTCTAAATTGACAACGATGTACCCCACACCTCTCCCTTCTAGAAATGGTGGATTAGGTAACGCAGTCCATAATTCCCTCTATCTTCTGAAAACAGATGGGCAATCTCCTCCTATGCAATTTACAGTGTAAGAAAACCTGCTGGAGGGTCAGCTATGAGTCTATTCCCACTCAACGGCAATTGAAAGACAAAATACAAATATTTTTAAAATGTTTGAAATTAAATAAAAAGATAACAAAGAAATATGGCATTAAAAAGAAAAAGACAAGAAACCAAGAAAGCTAAACCCAAATATGAGGATGCTTTTACCCTCAGTCACCTGCTGGTCACACAAGATGAAAGTGATAAACCACCTACAACCAGGAGTAGATGAATGAGATCTTCTAAGAATCAAATCCCTACGCACATCCAAAAACTTCTCCTACAGGGTAAAAAGGGAAGCCACAGACTGGGAAAAAGTATTTGGTAATGACATGTCAGATAAGGGACTTATATTCAGAATATAGAAAATACTTGAGACCCACACAAGATAAAGGTAAATAACCCATCAGAAAAATGGGCACAGGATATGAACAGACACTTCACTGAAGAAGACATTCAGATGGCTAACAAGCACATGAAAAATTGTTCACAATCCCTAGCTCTAAGAGAGATGCAAATCAAAATAACTAAGATATTATCTCACCCCAGTCAGAACTGCAAAATTTAACAGAACAGCAAGCAACAAATGCTGGCAAGGTTGTGGAGAAACTGGAACCCTTATTCACTGCTGGTGGGAGTGTAAAATGGTGCAACCACTGTGGAACGCAGTATGGTACTTTCTCAAAAAGTTGCTAATAGAGATACCATTTGACCCAGCAATTCCACTACTGGGAATATACCCCAAAGAGACCATAATCAACATCCAAGCTGATATATGCACACCCACGTTTATCCAACTTTGTTCACAATAGCAAGGAGTTGGAAACAACCTAAGTGTCCATGAACAAACAAATGGATAGAGAAGCTGTGGTATTTTCACACGATGGAATACTACGCTGCACTGAAAAACAAGGAACTCATGCAATATTATTCAAAATGGGTGACCCTGGAGGACATTATGCTGAGTGAAGTATATCAGTCACAAAAGGACAAATACTGTGCCACTGTTGTAAAGCAGGACTGACCTCGGGGTTGGGAGGAGACTGAGAAAGATGGGTTCAATAACGTATACTGCACTGAAACTGATGAGGAAGAAAACTGTTTAAGAGGGAAAATTATTAGGGATTTTTGTCATGACAGGAGTCCAGAGTGAAGGCAGTATAGTGGAGTGGACCTGGGGGGAGGGACTGTAAAAAAATGAAAAATTTAGGGATTTTTGGCATGACAGGAGTCCAGAGTGAAGGCTGTATAGTGGAGTGGACCTGGGGGGAGGGATTGTAAAACAATGAAAAATTTTTTTGTTTTTCCAAGAGGGTAGTGTACTGGGGGAGATAATTTGGGGGGGGGGGAGATGCAACATTGAATGAATGGAAGAAAAAAATGTGTTGAATTGGGGGGGAAAAAGAATGGAACAGAGGGGAAAAAAAGAATGGAACAGAGGTGGGGCTGAATATGGATTTCACTGGACTAAATTGTCTTCTAGCACAACTGACTAAAATGACAAATGTCTCTTTTTAACTCTCATATTTTTCCAGGTGTGTTGCTGCCTTTAGGTTTTGTCACAGCTATAACTTAGAAAGATTTGTTCTTAATTTTGGCTTAAATAAATCAATGTTCTTCTGCTGTTAACAAAAAACAAAAAAAAAAAACCAAGCCCCGAACTATCTATAGACTCACAAAGCTAAGGAAATTCTCTTTTTAAGGCAGAATTAAAAACCTACCAAATAAGGGAGTCCAAACAAAAATACTCTAATCTTTAGATTAATATTACAGCCTTTAAAAAAGGTGGATTCTATCTCATAGCTGAAATCTAGCCTCAAATCCTCTCAATCTCCATTAAAAATAATAGTTCTCAAATTTTTAATACACTAGGATTACAGAGACCAAACTGCCACGCCTTAAAGAGTTTTTTCTGACTCCGCAGGGGTGGTACAGGCTTCCGAATGTGTATTCTAAATGTTCCAGGATGATGGTGATGAAATATTTGGGAACCACTACATTAACATGATCAGGGTTTAGTATTAGTTGCAATTCTCAAACAGAAGTAAACTTTTACTCTCTTAAGATTATAATACCATAGGCCAGCTATTATTTCTGTGATCATTCATGAATGTCTAAGATTAAAGAGAAAATAACCAAGCCCATAAGATAAAACCATCTGATGAAAATCCTACAGAAACAAAACTATAATCGAGATTGTGGGGTTGTGGCACTCTTTCACTTTCCTTACTTAGTAAGAGAGTATTTAATTTGTTTTTGCATTTGGTAGGTCTTTCTCACAAAAAAGCATGGCAGAAACACAGATATTGTCAGTTACAAAGTTCATAATAGAGATAAATTCCATAAATTCTATTACCAGAAGCAATGGGCATGCTAAACTAGACAAATCAGTGGTCGATGCCCAGCTCCACTCCCAGAAACCATTATATAAATGTGGTAATCAAGTCTAAGCATGTGCATCATTTTGGAAAGTGACTCCAGTTAAAGACTCGCAGTGTGTGGTCCATGCTGACCCTAGACCAGGAGCCTCAACAACTCCTGGGAATAATTTTTAAGCATAAATTCTTAGGTGTCACTTAAAAAAACAAAAACAAAAATCCTGCTGTTTCTGATGGTTGGATTCCAATTCACAGTTCTCCTGAGGACAGAACATAGCAACTCCAGTTTCCAAGCCGGCAACTGTCACAGAACCATCACATAGATTACCAGTATTCAAGTGCTTTCATCACTGCAACTTTTAGGGCTCCTTAGTGCCAATCCAAAGCAGCCAGAAATTGGGACTGGGTCTAGGTGTATTTTTTTTTAATCTCCCTAGATCATTCTGGTAGTTCTTTGTTGATGTGCTGTTCCAGTCGTTTTTGGATAATCTTCAGTAAAATCTTGCTTGCATGTGAAATCAGTGAGATTGTTCTGTAGTTTCCA